TGGAGGCCATTTACCCGATATGCTATTCCATACATAACCCTATACTGTATATTTTATGAATCAATAAAAAATTTACAATTTTTAATTATAAACCTGTGTTTTCTATCAAAATTACTTCTTGTGTGAATTTTGGGACACCCTTTATTTGTGGAATTACGGTATAAACCTCTAAATGAAACTGATAAATTGACTCCTAAGGTAGAGCCCTGTTTACATAGATTTTATTAATTGTTATTAATTCAGAGGTGAAGAAAGTGGGGGAAGAGGGGAAGAAATCTAATTTCTGCATCAACTTTCTGTGTAGATATGATCTCAGTGGATTCAATTTAGAAAATTTGTTTGAAACACAACTGTGATGCATTAAAAAAACAAGACAAGCTTTTAAACAAAGTATTTTGAAATATTTATATATGAAGTATAAGAAGAAAATAGTTTACTTCAGTTCTGAGTTATTTAAAACTTTTCCTGTCTGGCCTTAGACTTCTTTTTTCATTTAATTGGCCAGGCATTGTGAATAATATACAGGATTGTGCTAGCCATGGTGTAATAGAAAACTAGTCGAAGATGGGAGAGGAGAAACCCTTTCTTGTAGGAGTGGTAATTCTCTAGGAGAGGTATTTTGCTAAAGGATGGCAAATGGTGATATTGCTCTCAGCTCTTGTTTCATTTTGCTTTAACAGTAAACTTCTTTGTGGGATGAGCAGTTGCAGAATATGCAAAAGGAATTTACTGGCTGTACTTGCTTTAATGACTTTTATAATATTTTAGGAATTTCTAGCTTATTTTTTTTGTTTTTCTGCCGAGCAGCTAATGTGTGAGCTGGGGAATGATGTTATAAATCGAGTTTATGAGGCTAAAGTAGAAAAAATGGGAATAAAGAAACCACAACCAGGACAAAGGTACTGTTTCAGTTGTCTTAATGTGTTATCTTTTTTTCCCCTAATCAGAAATATAGCTATGATTTTATTTCACCATAATTGATATGTAATACTGTAACAGACTGTTTAGAAGAGATCATTACTGCTTCTGTTAACCCGTAGTTAATTTTTTTTACTGATCAATCAATTATAGTCTCCAGATAAGAATCTTAAAAATTAAAGTTCTACATAGGAATGTAAAAACTCTTGGCAGTTAAAGTAGACCAAAGTTCCATTTAAAAAGAGATAATCTGTTCATTAATGTGTCTAAGGATTAAGTTTCTACTACGTACAATGAATAATTTTACATAGTGAGACTTAAGCAAATATTTGTTAATCACGTGCTTTATACATAGCGTTACGGTGTAGAATTAAAGGTGGAAGGTAATGAAAAGTACTTAATTGCTGTGTTTGAAATTATACTTCCATTTCTGTACATGGAGGCTCATTAAATAAAGTGGCTAAGAGTGCCTTCAAGATACATAACTTGTTTATTTTTATTGATTTTTAGAGAGGAAGGGAGAGGGAGAGAGAGATAGAAACATCAATAATGAAAGACTACCATTGATCGGCTACCTCCTGCATGCCCCCTACTGGGGATTGAGTCTGCAACCCAGGCATGTGCCCTTGACCAGAATCGAACCCAGGACCCTTCAGTCCGCAGGCTGATGCTATATCCACTGAGCCAAACTGACTAGAGCCTTGTTTTGTTTTTTGATGTTGTTTTTAGTCTATCATTACTTTTAGCATTAAAATTTTATTTGTCATAACCCTATGTTGGGGTTTTACATTTGACTAAATTCTTATGTATAACCAATACTGTTTTTTTTTTATTAAATATATTTTATTGATTTTTTACAGAGAGGAAGGGAGAGGGATAGAGAGTTAGAAACATCGATAAGAGAGACACATCGATCAGCTGCCTCCTGCACACTCCCTACTGGGGATGTGCCCGCAACCAAGGTACATGCCCTTGACTGGAATTGAACCTGGGACCTTTCAGTCCGCAGGCCGACACTCTATCCACTGAGCCAAACCAGTTAGGGCAATACTGTTTTAATGTTACTGCTCTCTAAACCAATATCACTTAAATCAGATTATTTATTTACTAAAGCATGGCTTTTTGAGTTACTTTAGACCTTGAAATATTCTATTTTAGCCAAAGACCTAAGCATTTGAAAAATATACAGGAAAAGGTATAGAACAGGCTTGGCATTTATAATCCTACTAGAGGCCCGATGCACAATTTTCGTGTAAGAGTAAGCCTTCCTTCCCCCCGGCTGCCGGCCGTGGAACCCAGGACCCGGACTGGCTTCCCTCCGGCTGCCTACAGGCACTCAGGATCCGGGCTGGCTTCCCTCTGGCCACCCACAGGCACCCAGGACCCGGGCTTTCCTCCGGTCTAATTAGCATATTATACTTTTATTGATGAGAAATCAAAAGTTTAAAATGTGATATCTTTTCCCCCGTAACTTAGAAATGTTGTGTTTTAAAGTAGTTGTCTTATGAAAAATTATGACTATCAATAGTGATAGTTCAGTATGTGACATTATTGGAGTAAAAACGAAATTAAAGCACAAAGGACTATGTAGAGAAATGAATGAGTACAGAAATTAAGAGAAAAAGAATGCCATGTTAATATTTGATTTTTAAGTTAGTTTGTTATTTGTATTTGATTTGAACATGAAATCATAGCTCATTAAATATTTGGAAGAAAAACTTGGCATAATGTCACAAATTCTGTTTTAACTAGTATTACATTTACTGACTTTCTTTGAATTAGTCAATGTATAATGGCTGTTTTTCAGTGTTAGTCATGCTCAGAGACCAAGCAGAACATCATGACATTTTTATGTTTACCAGACAGGAGAAAGAGGCATATATCAAAGCAAAATATGTGGAGAGGAAATTTGTGGATAAATGTTCTATATCATCATCACCTCCTGATCAGGAAAAAAAGATGATCTCCAAAAGTTGTGAAGAAAAGAGGCTAAGCATTCCTAAATTTGGGCCAGGTGACCAAGTTAGAGCATCTCCCCAAAGTTCAGGTATTACAACTTACTTGCGTATATAAATATTTTTATACACTGATGTCACTTTCTTAATCTCTGAATTAATAGCCATTGTAGATTTTTAAGTGCTAAAAACCTGTTTTCTTATACATATTCTAAGGAAAAATTGGATTTCTATGTCTTTAAAACTATTAAATTTAAATAGGTCTTGGTAATTTGATTTCTAGGTAATGTGTATATTCTAAGGAATAAAACTGCTTAAAGTGCAAGGGGAGATGGGAATTATAAATCTATCATGGCAGAAAGCCCTAAATATCTGATTAACCACCTAACATCCTTCCTATTTTTCCCTCCTAAATTTTTCCCAATAACGTTTTTTTCCTGCCCTTTCCCCTTCTTATGGCCTGCTTTGTGCTTTGCTAACTTGCATGTCCCCAGTGGTTGCTGTAAATAGCGACGAGGCCAGGCGGGAGTCTCTGTTCTGTCCTGATGAGCTAGATTCACTCTTCTCCTACTTTGATACTTCTTCAAAACTACGTAGTAGTAAGTACTCTTGTGGAGCATTCCAAGTCTGTGCCAGTGGTCATTGTGCGGTGTGGCCATTTCTCTAGATGTTACCCATTGTCTCAGAATTACACATTACTTACAGTCATACAATAAATTCTTTTTACTACCCCTTACATATTATGGGGTAATGAGATGTGTTACAACTCTGAAAATAAGCTTATTTTCAGTTTTTGTGCTTGATTCATATTTTGATAAGCTAAGTGCTCAAAAGGATTAAAATTGTATTAAATGTATTCTACTGGTGACGGCTGAGTTCCCATTGATGTATCAGAGTTCATTTTAAAACTTCGTTGTTTGTGGGAGGTTGTTTTCTTAAAGGCATTTTTTTTTAACCACTAGCTGATTTTTCTTAAAAACAGTCAAAAGTAATGACAGTGGAATCCAGCAGAGCTCTGATGATGGAAGAGAATCTTTACCCTCTACAGTGTCAGCCAATAGTTTATATGAGCCTGGTGAGTTTTGGTGAAATTCAGTGTTAATTGGTATTATTTGCTGAAAAATATGTGTGTTAAATGCCTAGTCTTGATTAAATAGTTTCTAAAGGAAGTGGTTAGTTTTTTGGAAGAAGGAGTAATACAATTAAATGAAAAGCAGCTATTTCTTTTTATATTTGAAAGTTATCTCCTAGCTGTACATTCTTCTGAACTTCATGATATATGCTATAAGTGCCTTGTCTTAGAAGTGCCTTTTCTTAAAATTTTTTTATTGATTAATTTGAGAGGGAGGGAGGGAGGGAGAGAGAGAGAGAGAGAGAGAGATTTTTTTGTTGTTGTTCCACTTACTCATGCATTCATTGGTTGATTCTTATATGTGCCCTGATCGGGATCAAACCCACAATCTTGGCATATTGGGACAACACTCTAACCAACTGAGCTACCATTCAGGGCTAGCTAAGGATAACTTTTAATTCACATGGACTGTATGTCTTATTACTCTTTTCTTTCTTTGTGGCGGTTTTTTCTTATCAGGAGGAAGATATCAGCAACTCCCTCCCCTTTAGATTTTTTTGTGCTTTACTGACCTGTACTTTACTCCTATATTCCCTCCTTCATATTTAGTGATTTGGGTATTGCAGAATACTCAGAGTAGTAAATGTTCTTCACATTATGTGAATTGCTTATACTGCAAATTGTGATGGTATTGGATTATCCTAGGAATAAAGTAAGGTGTCATCTGGTAGTAAAATTCTTTAGGGATTCTTACTGCCTCTTTTGAGTGTTTAAGTCCAGGCTTATAGGAATATACCTAATTTTAATCTAATAGAGAGTAATTAACCTACCTATTGGATGCTGGCAAGAACACAAAAGGCTGACATACTAATTGATATGTTTATAAGAGAGGTTGACTGGGGAATGATTAGTCTATTGAAAATAAAGTATCTTTGTGAAATCAGCTCATTTTGTTAAATTAGTCATTTCTTATGCCACAACTTTCACATTGTGATACAGTTAAGAGTTCATTTAAACAATTGTGGCAAATTATACATAATGTAAAATTTATCTTAAACATATTAAAGTGTACAGTTCAGTGGCATTAAGTCTTTTTTAAAATACTAGTGGCCCGGTGCATGAATTCATGCACATTGAAAGAAAATTAATTAGAAGAAATATTTTAATATTGCTATTCGCCCTTTCTCTATAATAGAAGTGTCAACCAAATTCACGATTGACAATGACAGATTGAAACACACGCCTGTGATTGGCGCCAGCGAGAGCTTTATATGTATTGCACATGCACGAGTCAACTTAGCCTTTTATAGATATAGAATAAACTTGCTTAATTAGACCTGCTTTCTAATTTAGCTAAACTTTTTCCAGCCCAGTGAAGCATCCCAACTTCTCTTTCAGGTAATTGTCAGCAACACAGCAGTAAATATCAACACGAAGCAGATTATTATTGTAGATCATGCAGGGAGGACAAAGGGTAAAATATTTAACTGCAGCAGTGTTTGACTATATTCTGCGCAGTGAGAAAACCTGAAGTCATTTTCAAGTTCCACCATTTCTTACTTCTTTTCAGTAGGGTCAAGTTTCTAAGCTTTATAAATCTCCGTTTTCTGGCTAATGAAAAGAAAATAGGATTCCACCGAGTCTCCTATCTACCTACTCCAGGACTTCTGTGAGGATCAAATGAGATGAGGCATGGGAAAATGCTTCACAGACATTTGGTTAAAGTGTAAAATATTTGCACCTGGCTATAAAGCAAGTTGCATTCCTAGGCTGAAGAAACTCCAAGGAGGCTAGTCACTAGGGAGAGGAAGCCAGGCATTGCTATGTGATGTCATTACCCAGCACCCACAGCGACCATATCCAAGCTGGGGTGGGCTGTGGGCCACATTTTGCGCCATGGGGTCGCAGCAGCGTCGGCTGCAATTTCGTGCGCTGTTGCTCCGGGGTGGTGGCGAGGCCTGTGTCCCACTTGCAGGAAGCCGAGTGTTGCTTTGTGGGCGCCAGGTTCATGGTGCCATTTCTCTGTAAATGGCCAGTGCATGTCACGGCAGTTCCTGTATTGAGTGTCTGCCCCCTGGTGGTCAGTACATGTCATAGCTACCAGTCGGACAGACACATCATATTAGCCTTTTATATATAGAGAGATATTTTTATTGATTTCAGAGGGGAAAGGAGAGGGAGATAGAAATATCAATGATGAGAGTCATTGATCAGCATTAAGTCTTAACCCTTTGCGGTCCAATGTTATTTTTGGAATTCAAACAGTCTGGTCCAAATTAATTGACGGGATTGAATGTTGAACTTTTTAATGTTCTTATTGCTCAGCGTTGGACTTGCTCCTAGCGCCTGGTCAGCCTCAAAGTTGGACCGAAAAGGGTTAATTCACATTGATGTGAATTACTGTCACTACTATTCATCCACAGAACTCATCTTACAAAACTAAAACGCTGTGCCTATGAAATAATAACTTCCCATTCTTTCCTGCCTCAAGATCTAGTTTTTAATGATGTGTTTGTGTTTGCTTTTCAGAGGGAGAAAGGCAAGATTCTTCTGTGTTTCTTGATTCTCAACATCTTAATCCAGGACTCCAGCTTTATAGGGCTTCATATGAAAAAAATCTTCCTAAAATGGCTGAGGCTTTGGCTCATGGTGCAGATGTGAACTGGGCTAATTCAGAGGAAAACAAAGCAACACCACTCATTCAGGCCGTATTAGGGGTATGCATTTGTACCTTGAGGTTTTCAGTAGTAGTTAAACATGTAAAAGCACAATTCATTTGAAACATGGCCTTAGAATTATTTTTTGTTTTAAGAGATGGGTTGGAAAATCGAAGAAGCTAGTAGTGATTCTGGGCATCACTTTGATTGTGTGAACTTGATTTGTTTTTTTCCTTAATGGAAGAGAATTCTGGTAATGAAAGTGTGTTTTGCTAGATTGCAAACTGCAAATTGAATCTTTATTAGAAGTAGTTCTTGGGAAGAAATAATGTAATTTATCATTTTTCTGCTTTTGCTGGGGGGTATTTTCTCTTTAGAGGAGAATGAAATAGACTATTAAAATAAAGTAAACACTGTTTTTAATGGAAATATTTTGTTTTTTTGTACATTGTTTTCTTCTTTCCTCTAAGGGCTCTTTGGTGACGTGCGAGTTTCTCCTACAGAATGGTGCTAATGTAAACCAAAGAGATGTACAAGGGCGGGGACCACTGCACCATGCCACCGTCTTAGGGCACACCGGGTAAGCTGTAGTGCTACATATTTAAGTAGGTTTTACTTGAAAAATTACTTTGAAATAATGTTTTGCTTTAAGAGATGGGTTGGAAAATAGAAGGAGCTAGTAGTGATTTCTGAGAATCACTTTATGTAAACTCAATTTTTTTTTTCTTTAAAAAATTTTAAAATTGATTTTTGAGAGAGAGAGAGGGAAAGAGAGTGAGAGAGATATTGAGATTTATTTATTGTTTCACTTATTTATACATTCATTGGTTGATTGTTGTATGTGCCCTGACTAGGGATCGAACCTGCAACCTTGGATTATCGGGACAATGCTCTAACAAACTGAGCTACCGGGCCAGGGCTATCAAATTTTTTCTTTTTTCTTAATGGAAGAGAATTCTGGTAATGAAAATAATGTGTTTTGCTAGATCACAGACTTTTTCTCAGATTAAGGCCATTAGGTAGAGTTTGTAAAATTACACTTTCCTGTAACTTAAATTGTCATGATGGAATTTGAAATTTAAAAAATCTCAATAAAAAAAATCTGTTACTTTTCAGATAAGAAAATTCCAAAACTTACTTTGAAATTCATTTGTCATTTATATCGATTAATTTCAGTATTTAAAATAGTAAAATGATGGTGATTTTTGTCAGACAACTTTAAGTCTGTGTGTGTATTTAAGCACGTAGACATACATTATGTACATAACAAACACATTTTGGGGGAACTTTGTAACTTTGGGCATTTTAGTTTTCCCACAGGGTATCCAAAGTCAAATTTTAAGGTAAATTTTTAGTCTGTGCTATTGATAGTGCAACTTCTGGAGCAATATTTAGACTCACAAAACAGTAATGCCATGAAAACATATTTTCTATTAGAGTGCACAAATGAAGTCAGATTGTTAGCCTTATTTGAAAAGTTTGTGAATGGGTGATTGTTCTTTAATCATTTCAAAGATAACCAATTCTTTTTTAAAAAAGTTTTTATTGATTTTCAAAGAGGAAGGGAAAGGGGGAGAGAGATAGAAATATCAATGATGAGATAGAATCATCGATCCACTGCCTACTGCACACCCCCCACTGGGGATGGGTATGTACCTCGACTGGGAATCGAACCATGAGTTGACATTAAACCATTTTGAGCCACACTGGCCGGGCCTATCCAATTCTTATTACCTTGACAAGCAAACTGTTCTTTTTTCTGTTTATTTATAGTATCTTCTATTATTTGTTTATGTTCCCTCTGTCAGTAAAGAGATTCAGTTCAATAACTTCATCATAAAAACTTTTCTATACTTAGAAACCATAGCATTTAACTCATTCTTTGTATTTTCTTCTTAAGCAATCATACTTCTTCCCATTTTACGTCATGGACTCCATTTATTCATTTCATATTTTTTTCATTTTTATCAATTTCTTCAAATTACAATATTTGTGAAGTATAGTGGGAGGATTACTTCCCACTCTGCTATTGTATTATATTATGACCAGAGGCCCGATGCACGAAATTTGTGCAAGAGTAGGACTTCCTTCCCCCGCTGCCGGCACCGGCTTCCCTCTGGCATCCGGGACCCAGGTTTCCCTCGAAGCCCCAGCTTTGTCCAGAAGGTTGTCCAGAAGGACGTCTGGTCTAATTAGCATATTACGCTTTTATTTTTATAGAAGATGTTAACATTACCTTGGCTTCCTTCTTTCCCAAATTGATTGAGTTTTGTTTTAACTTTGTATGTATCTGTGTACATCTTTTTATGATATTCTTTGAGGGTAGGGACCATAATTTACAATCCTACTGTACTATATAGTACCAGGTTAGATAGACTTGTAAAATGCTGATTATGGTAAATTTTTATTCTTAGAGTCAGTGTTCAAAAAGAGTGTTAGAGGTCATTTGTAGAATGAATAAGAATTTACTAATCAAAATATTATTTCTTTAAGTTAGGTAGTGCTTTTTATTTTTTAAGGTAAATACTAATTTCTTTCTTATTGACTTTATCTCAAAAATACTGTTTGCTTAAAAAGGCAGGTATGTTTATTCCTAAAACGAGGTGCCAATCAACATGCCACTGATGAAGAAGGGAAAGACCCGTTAACTATAGCTGTGGAAGCAGCCAATGCTGATATAGTGACCTTGTAAGTGTTTTTTTACTTCATTATTTCCCGTACACTATAGGACTTGGGTGGGGTTTCCTTTGTAGGTATGAACTTTAAACTTGGCCAGTTATTTACTATATACCATATACTTCTCTAAGTACAATAAATGTATTAAGCACTTTACTACATGATCTTGGTTTTCACAACCCTGTGAGGAAGATGTTATTATTATTAACCTCATTTTATAAGGAAATCAAGCCACAGATAATTTGAAAAACTAGTAAGTGGTAGTGCTGGAATTTGAAACCAAGAATTCTGGCCTTAAAACCCATGTTCTTAGCCACCTCTGTTATCCTTCATGACCAATAGAAACAGAAAACCCGTGATTTCTCTAAAATGGATTATTTAACTCTTAGTACATATTGGGATGGGGATTGGATTGGTACAGTAACAGGCAATTATTCTGCTACCTTGAGAATCAGGATTATATGTAGGGGGGACATCTACATTGGTGTTAGTAACTTTTGCAGTTGCATTGCTTTTGGGCAGTGATACTTAAGGATTTGTTTGTACTTATTTTTAAAAGAATACTCTATTTTAAGATAAAAGTACTTGTTTTTGAATGTTTGAATACAATTTAATATGATCTGTTAAGGAATGATTTTTGAGGTCTTAATTTGATTTTCATATTAGATAAAAGTTAATTGTTACACTTGGAATCAAGAAATGCGTTTTCACTTACATGTCATTATTATGTAGGAAATCTCAAGCATATGTTGTATGAAGTCACTTTTTCATTCTATTCTGGGCTGAATGAAGCCCAGAATGGTTGATCCTTTGTTATATAAATAGAGACAGTTCCATTCACATGACTAAATCTCAGTCACTTACAAAGAGAAAATCCCACGACTGCCTTGAACTCCTGAGCTCCCACTGAGAATTCTTGGCTTGTCATATGTCACTGCTGAATAAAAAAATTTAAAAAAAAGCTATTTTCTCTGTACTCAACTTCCTTTCCACACTGGTGGAGTTATGTTACTGTGGAGGCTATTGTAGGGAAATTTAAATCATTGTGGATTTACAATTAGAGAAAGGTAAGTTATTAAAGAAAAGACAGAAATGGTATAGAGAAACAAATCTTGGTTTTGCAGGGTTCCCAGGCAACTCTTACAGTAAAGGCCCCTCTTCCCAAAGATAGCTGTTTCCAAGTTAACTAAATTTTCTCATATTACTTTGTGTAAGGACTTTAGTTTCACTTAAAAGTTTTTGAAAATAGATGTCCTCTTTGAAAAGTCCAAAGACTAAAAGGAAAATTATGTTGCTATTATTAATTGACACAGTGGTTGAAAATGGAAATGGAAGGGATTCATGGTACTCTGAAGATAGGAAAAGCCCATTTTAGATGCTGCAGTAGTTGCCAGAGAGAGCATGTTAGAAGAGAGTGTTAGAAGTCTGGGAAGGCAATGAGTATTTGGTGGCTTGAAGAACAGAAGAGTAATATAAAGTAGGAGAAGGGTCCCAAAGGCAACATTTGCATGTTGTTGTTGTTGTTTTTAATATATTTTATTGATTTTTTACAGAGAGGAAGGGAGAGGGATAGAGAGTTAGAAACATCGATGAGAGAGAAACATGGATCAGCTGCCTCCTGCACACCTCCTACTTGGGATGTGCCCGCAACCAAGGTACATGCCCTTGACCAGAATCGAACCTGGGACCTTTCAGTCTGCAGGCCGATGCTCTATCCACTGAGCCAAACTGGTTAGGGCCATTTGCATGTTTTAAAATGTTGTTTCACGTTAGTAAGAAAATGGGAAGAAATTCTTGTCTTCTTAATCCAATACTACATGTCTTCCTGCTGCCAGGATGAATAATTCCCAAAAAGAATGCATAGCCAATATGGTAATCTTGGGAAAATCTTGGTCACCTGTGGTCATTATTATAATGTTTGTATATCAAAATATATTTCCAGTATTTAGAAATAACAGACACTGTTTATATGACTGGAACTACTCACCTCAGAGTGAACCAGAGTGAATTTATGATAGGCTATTGCTTCCATACCATAGCATTAATTTCAGCAGTTGGTGGTTAAAGTTTGATAGGTTGCTATAGAAGCCAGGAATTCTCTGGAGTCTGGAGGAAGCAAGTTGCTGAAGGTGCTGCAAGAATCTTGCTTTAACAGAGCTGAAATGCGCCTTCATTGTCTTCTCTCATGAGAATTGTATAAAGTGAAATACAATTATTTTTCTATCTGGATTGCTGGCTGGGTCTGATAGAATAAAAGCCCATTTATTTCAGTGGCAAATATTGATAGAGAAAAAAATTACATTAGTACACGTTTTATCTGCTTATACAATTCATTACTTTATGAATATTTATCTTGTATAACTTCATCTAAAAATGCTTTTATTTAATTTTAGGTTACGTTTAGCAAGAATGAATGAAGAGATGCGGGAGTCAGAAGGACTTTATGGACAGCCAGGTCAATATTCTACTAATAACCATACCGAAATGCAGTATAAGAAATGCATTCAAGAATTTATAAGTTTACAGTTAGAGGACTGATAGTTCTTTAGCAAACTAGCTTAATATTATAGAGTTTTATAACTTGTAAATTGTGAGTTGTTAAGTATGTACTGTACCTGTTGAATTCTTGGGGGTGGTCAACTCCTGGGCCTTTAAATATCCATAACTATTCCTATTAGAGTACACATTTACTTGCTGTATTGAACTCTGGCTGCTGACTTCTTTCTCTGCTGTACAGATGTCTTCCATATACATTCCAGTGAAGTAAATGGAATGATAATGTATCTTTATACACTTACAGCAGCACAATAGTCATTTTCTTTTTGAAATTCTCTGTCAACTGAATATAACAAAATGGCTTTCTTTTTGTTAATTCAGGGAATTTCTATAAATTGTGTTCAGGGAAAAAAACAAATCACCATATGATTGGCAAATAATAAGTCAGAATGGAAAATACCTAGAAAATGAATTTAGGAGTTTTATACTTTGATATAAACATGAGTTGAAGGTTTAAAATAAAATTTACCAGTAGGTTAAGAAGTACATAATGGGAGTGGAGTTAGTTTAAAAGGTATAGAGGAAAGGTCTCATTTTATCTTATAATGTACAATATCTGTTAGATAAATGGAAGTTTTTTGAACAATATTTTGAGAACCTGATGGCAAAGTAGACTTATTCATAATTAGAGAAATCTAATTCAGTATCAGCTCAAGTCTCATTTTGAGTCATTTTCACCCTTGAATCAAGATGTTAAGAAAAGGAAGAAATGTTGTGATCAGATTCCTCTCTTTGATGAAATATCAAATAATTAGATCTGCAATTTTATGAAGTTGAGTATATGAATTATTAATATATCTGTTTTAAATTCATATACATATTAGTAAGAAACTTGGAATTAATGACTAAAATAATTGAAATTGTTCGGTATATTTAATTTTTTAATGAATATTAATAATTTAAAAAGCTTGATAATATCTATTCTTGTTTAAATATATTTTGAAATTTCTGTACTTTGTTCTAGCTTCAGCCATTTCCTTTTATTTTAATTAGATTAATATATAATTAATAGATATATGGGGCCATTCTTTTCTCAGAGGACTGTATTTACTACTTATTTTTGGTTTAATTTAACAGGGAACAAGTAAGAACTTTGAGAATAGAGAACATCTAGATACTTCTAATCTAGGGTGTCCCACTTTAATCCTATGGATCAAACAATACTACTGATTCATGATATACCAAGATGTAAGAAAGCTGATTAAGGGTGAAGTCTCAGTATTAATTCTGAATTTCACCCATTTGTTTTAAACTTGAATGTGAGATTTTAAATGTTATTATTTTGTAACATATACTTAAGTGATGGTATTACTAGGCCATTTTTTTGAGGCCTTTGTGTTTAAGCACTTTAAAATAAAAAATATTATTCAAAGGCTATGACCGATATTTGTGAGATAAGAGTGATCTTCAAGATTTTAAGTTAAACTTTCTTTTTTTCCTGAAATTTTAAACTTAAATGTTTGGTCAGCTGCTCTTTCCTTAAGGTGTTTGCTGATGAAGTTACACCCAACTGGTTAGTCAGAAGGTCAGTGGCTGACTTTTCTCTGGAGTTGGGAAGCTGGAAAGGACAGGGCCTCTATGCTCTTGCAACTTCTAGTTTCACCTGAATTGCTTGGGCTTCCGCCACCATTTAGGAGCATTCATATGTCTCTTTCACTGTTGTTTTATGTATAAGTTTATGAGTATATACCTTCCATTCATCCAAAGAAAAATAGACTTTTGCTATTTATTTGAATGAAAATTTGAAAAAAAAAACCTCTTTTTAAAAAAACAAACTTTTATACCACTCTCAAATTTCAGTTTAGAGATTAAAAATAGATCAGAATTCTGGAAATGCAGAATAAAATGAAATTTTGATCTATTTGAGGATCATCTTGCTAATTAGATTTTTCTAATTAGATTTATTTAGAGAGTCTGATATTTAAAGCAGAACAATTTTATACTTATACAGGTGACATGGTGAAATGGCACAGCAATTGCTCTCTGACTACTTTTCTTCTCCCTGTGAGTCTTTGGAGAGCAAATATGTTTGCTTAGGTAACAGGTCTTTTTTTCTCCTTCGCCTATCACTGTAAATTTTTCTCATATATTTTGGTTATTTTATCTAGATACTTTTTTTTTTTCTTTTTTGCTGCCTACCATAAGAAAGAAAATCTCACAATTCTGGATAATTTTAAAATGCAGTTAGTTTCGGTCTTTTGATAATGAAGAGCCCTACCATTTAAAAGACTCAGATATTACCTTTGGGAATCATGGACTTATTTCTAGGAGACTCCACTTCTGAATTTTCTATCCACAACCCTGACCTCAGACTCCTGATTTTTTGCAAGGTTTAAGAGCACATGTTTCCTGAAGGGAAGATTTATCTAACCCTGTTTATCAGTTACTGCAGCTCTTAGGAGAATTGGGGTGGGGGTGGGTGAGTGAGATACCATGCCCTGCTCTGAATTGTTGGAAACCAGTGTGGGAGTTCCCACAGTCCAATTTCTGGTCCTAGGATTCCTCTTGATTGTTGGCAGTTTCTTAGTCGGTTGAAAATCACTGCTTTAGTTAACCACTACTGGTTATGTGAGTATGTTACTGACAAAGGCTTATGTCTGATCTAATCAGTTATAAAAGAAGGCTGTAATTAACCCAGAAGGGGCAAGATTGGTTGGGGGTGGGGTTTCACATGCTGCCATCTTTTTGCTCAAGAGCAAAATCAACAAAATCTTGGATCATTATAACTGCTATTGCAGTGGCTATTCTGAATACCAAAAATCAAAAAACGATTTTAAACTACCAGTGGAAACAGCAGTCCACATTTTAAAAACTCAGAACTGTCCGGGCACATAGACAGTTAACTTTCCGAAGAGAAATACTAGTACAATGCGATTAAGTAATTTAAAGGATATAACTTAGCATTAAAAATATTGGGTGACTAGTTGTTTACCATTAATAATAAACTGTTAAATGTACTTCTGTAAACTTTCCAGGGCATCATATTCTGGCTTATTGTTTATATATTCTAGTGTAGACAAGTTATAGTTGCCTTGGGAGAAATTCTAAATGATTAAAATTATATTTAAATTTTAAAGGATCACATTGAAGTCGATTTGTGTTAACTATATTAAATAACTTAGTCATTATCATTATTGTAACCTTTGTTTTCTGACCATACATTTTGAAGCCTAAGAAAGGTATATTGATAGTCCATTATTTAGTGTTTTATTAGAAACTGAATGTTAATAAAAGTTTTGTGTGTGTGTGAAGGTGAGACTTCCGTATTGTAGTAACTCTTTTAAAATGTATTCAGTAAGTGAAACAAATGATTAGTGTGTAGCACCAACATTTTTCCCTCAAAGAAGCATTTAATTGAGTGAATAAAAGAGCTTATAATTTGTTTTGCATGGTACAATGGTTCTACTAAAATGTACTTGTGTAATAGGTACTAGATAATTTTAAAACGAAAACTGGAAAACCACAAAAAGAAAAAATTCCACAGCTTGCTGTACAAAATATGCATTGCTAATAGTAGAAGCCATATATCGCCATTGTACTGTTATAATACTAAGAATGCTCATCTGGTGCTATCTGTAAACTATTTGGCATTGGTGTCTCTGCTAGATCCTTCTTCCTATTTCTTCTTGAATGTATAATGTGTGCCTTTTAAGTTACTTCTGGTGTTGAATGGTAAAATCAGTGTGGTATTTTTATATTATAATCTGCACTTTACACTTTTTTGGAAAGTAAAATTCCAGACTCTCCAGTTTAAATAGTATTTTAAAAATATTTATAATGTTTACAATAAATATTTTAAATATTTTAATTCAACATCTAAGAATAAGAAAAAATTTTAAATATTTTGTATGGTTTCTTAATTGATATTTAATGTTGGTCTCTTCTCGTATTATTTTATATCTTTTAGAATGGCTAAAAATGGGAATAGATTGTAGTTTGTCTTTTAATGTGGGAGTAACTTTTAAGAAATCATGGGTATAATTGGATTGTCTTACCTATTGTTCCAGCATTTCAACCTTTGTTTTTATTGTTTTAATGACAATGAGTTAAGAATGTTACTCTTAGCCAACCCTATTAAGATTCTCTCCTTACTTTTTTCTTTTTAAAGTAGATTGATTGATTCAGGTCATGAGAAATTTCCAGGGTTAAATGAAAACTATATAGAGATTTTAATAACTTGCTTTTACATAGATTAAATATTAAAAGTGAAAAAAATATTGAAAGTATTAAAAACTTTTTATTGAAAATTTTGGGTTATGCTATTAGACCTTTTTACTAGATAGATCTTCGTCCCCTTCCCAGACTTTTTCTAATTCTCTAGCTTTTGGTATGACATCTATTGCCTCAAAAAATCTCTTTTCAAAAGCTAACAAAACTTACTGCACTATTAACAACAACTGTAGCAAATGAGTTTGTAATAAGATGGATGCAAGGTATATTCTAGGAAATAATTATAAAACCATGTTGCAACAACAGTCATGTAAAATAGTGTTTGACAGTCTAAATCTTGAAAACAGAACTATGCCAAGCTTCTGTATAAAGCTGATGTTTAATAGGAAGCATTCCTAATGGATTACTCATCTTGAAAATAAGATTTTATTTTATACAAATCCTTTATTTGAGGAGTAATCTGTATGTGTGCATATGTTTAATTTCTCATGGCAAGAAATATAGTATTCAATCAGCTATAGTATTAGTATGTATAATCTTCTTCCCTACAAGCATATTTGTATGTATATACATATGTCTATTATTCTAATTCAACATGTTTTTGGTATTCCCATTGTTGTCATAGTATTCTTTCTCATATGACCTACATTAAATAAAAACTTCTGACTACATGTGAAAATTATGATTTTATAGTCATTTTCTAGGCTTTATCATTTTATAAGCTTAGTAAGCAGGGGATTAGGTGTGTTAGTTTTAGTTAAGCATTAAAGTTAAAGAATTTCTTTTTCACATGCTATTTAAATTAAAATGCCTTTTAAAAGGTAATACTAAAGTAGGCTTCCCCCCTCACCTGATTATCAGCTTTGTCTAGTTAATAACTTGCATCCATCAGAAACAGTTAGTGTTTGTTTTTGGTCTTTCCTTTTGGTCTTGATCAAGGGAAATACTTATTTAAAGAATGCCTTGTTTACTATACCTCACTTATACTGACTTTTATTTCCCATGTATGAATAAATGTATTTCTGCACATGGCTTTAAAATACTTGCATCTTTGCTCTTTTCTAACTCTGAACTTTCCTCTATGGCTGCATTTGAGGTGCTTTTTTCAGGTATAGTTTTCTTTCTTCTTTCACTATATACTTTTCCAGCATTTATATTTAGTTCATCTTTTTTCTTTTAAAAATGCTCAGCTAAACAAAATTTTAATAGAATGAATTATAAAGTAGTTACTAAATATAAGAATGAATATTGTTTATTAATATTTTTACTGTATGCATTTTAAAAGTGTCCTTATTTTACTTTCATGCAGGTGATGAAACTTATCAGGACATTTTTCGTGATTTTTCTCAGATGGCATCCAATAATCCAGAAAAACTAAATCGTTTCCAGCAAGATTCACAGAAATTCTGATTATTTTTTTTTTTTAAGAAGGGGAGAATACTAAATCTGGTGACTTCCTAATGTATAGATTTGAAAACTCACACATTTTTACTACTTTAATTCTACTTAATTTTAGTAGATATTGAGTAGTTTGGAAAAAAGGTACCCATTCATTGGTAAAACATAGGGCTTTAGTAGTTGGAAGAGGAGCCTATTTTAGGACCCACAAAAAGGAAGAGAGGCTGTTTAAAGGGCTATTTTTATAGGTAAAAATTGAATCTAGGCTTAGGCCATCTTTAGGTTACTATGTCCTAAGAGTTTAGACAAAAATCTCTTTTTTTGCTAGTGGATGGTAGCGTTGATTTTTCTTCTGTGCGCCGTACCCAGTGTCACATATTTGCATCAAGTGGGAGCCGACTGGTCCTGCCTGCCTCAAGAATATGTCTTTTCTTTAGTTTCCCAGATAACATTAGTGGTTCAGAAGTGGTTTTATTTTGCTTTGATAGCCTAGCTGTTATACACACATATGTAATTTAATTATTAGCTGGAGAGTATGTTTTCCCCATTGGCTCATAAATGCAGTTATACTCCTTAGATATCTGGTTATTATCCAGTACTTTAACAAACATACAGTGTTTGTACAGGTAGATATAACTCAGTCTTTCAGTTTTATTCCATTTTATGCAGCAAAATGAAGCCCTTAACAAGTTTTTTTAATCACCAAAAGATTCTCAGTTATAGAAATGGTAGTTCTTCATTGTTGGGTTGATTTCCTAAAACCTGGACAACTTATTGATGTAATAAAACTGTTTCAAAGGTTACTTGAATGTTGCAAAATTATGCTTTCATCATATTGTAACTTTCAAAGGAAAAGCTGATTTATAGAGTAATGTAGAGCATTTTTATATTTGAAATTTGTCCTTTTCAAGATACATTTTTGCTATTGGTCCTTGTGAAAGAAAAATCTCTTTGTAAAAGGAGAAAAAAACTTAATGTTTTTCTTAGCTTTAATTAAAATATAGCATTAAATTGCTTTTTAATTTTTCAACATCTATTCTGTGTACTTGTTGTATACAGTGTATGTTCTTTTAAATTATAACATCTATATAGCTTTAGTATTTGGTTTTATGAATCATAGGCCCTTGAATTCCAAAATATGGATATACTAATTTATCATTATATGCTACAAATTAGGCTAATTCCATCTTTGGTTGACATATCTTGTCAGGAGTATAAATAATTTAGTAATTTGCTTTATGGTTTCTTTCTTTTTAAAAAAATGTTTTTATTGATTTTTTTTTTTTTGAGAGAGAGAGAGAGAAAGAGAGGAAGGGAGAGAGAGAAACATTGATTGGCTGCCTCCTGAGCCCAAAACCTGGGCATGTGCCCCAACTGGGAATCAAACTGGCGACCTTCTGGTGCACAGGACAATGCTCAACCAACTGAGCCATACTAGCCAGAGCATGGTTTCTTTCTAATATTGTCAACAATTAAATTTAATCTTATTTTACAAGTTACATGTGTTATCATTGATACTCAGTTTCTAAATAAGAGAGTTTTTAAAATTTGGGTTATCAAATAAGTAGGTAAATACTATTTAATAGGGTAGAGATACATTTTCTAACGTGCCTTCCTCCCAATAACTAGAGTTTTATAAATTAATTGACTCTCAAAACGGAATCTGTCTAAACAGGAATTATACTGAAATAAATTCACATCACAGGAAAGGTTCCATGTTTGGTCAAATTGCATGCATATAATGCTTATTTAGTAATAATCACTGCATATCAGATAAGAATAAAAACTGTATTTATGAGTTATTTCTAAGGAAATCCTAACTTCCAAAAGCCTTGTATTGTAATTAAACCAATAACAGTCATAGTGTGGCTCAGTTGGTTGAGCATTGTCCTGTGTACCGGAAGGTTGCCAGTTTGATTCCCAGTTGGGGCACGTGCCCAGGTTTTGGGCTCAGGAGGCAGCCAATCAATGTTTCTCTCTCTCCCTTCCTTCCTGTTTTAAATCTCTCCTGTTTTACCTCAGAGTCACAGATCATCTGGCTTGGCAAAAGTTTGATATATATCACTTTTATTTTTTTTTTTTTTGATATATATCACTTTTATTAGAGTGTACCTTGAGATTGATTTTTCGAAAAACTCAAGCATAAGGAAATATGTTGAAAACAACAAAAAGAAAGAAAGAGGAAAGAGAGCTTTACTTTTCCTTTGCAGTGCCCATTCCTGCTAAAGCTCCTACCCTTTATCTGAGGAAGCCTAGGCAGATTTCCTTTTGGATTCAGCCATTGGTGCTTCAGAAAACCTGTGGAATCTCTAGTTGTGAAGGCAATTCTTCATGACGCTCTTACCTCCTGTGGCTTGAGTCATGAGTTGTTAATGTGGCAGTAATTAGTGCCCACTTACATTTACTGGTTAGAGATGTATTTACAGTACACTAAAGATGATCATGGTTCTGAATATCTTCAGAGAAGGCAACATCTTTAACAGTACAGGGAATCTGGTACTACAGAAATACATTCCTGTGGCTTGCTTTCTTAAATATGCTGAGACATAATTTGGATTAAATTTGGCAGAAATGATACAGTAAACAGCAAGGCTCTAAAGTATAATAGTTACAAGTAGTTACAAAGGGTGGCTCTTACCAGGGTAAATTTAGCTGTCAAGTAACATCTTTTCTATAGTATGTAACAAATTTGAGTTTTATTGCGCTGTGAATTATTCAATGCATTATGAGAAACTATAGTGGGAACAATGTTAATCATACCCTTGGGCTTCATAGGTCAGTGTGACTGCCCTTCGTTTTCTTTCCTTAACTGATCTGCTGATACTAGTTTTTGATTCTTTCTCATTATTCTGTTAGTGCATTTCATTAGCTCATTAACTTAGAAGTTAGATTAATATTAAAATAAAAATATTATTTGCACTATGAGAAGTTCATCAGGTGCAGTTTCATGTTAGAACTCGACTAAAGGTAATTGAGTAGTTATTTGCAATTATATAAGGTTTTAAAAATTACCTTTGGTACAGTCCTTAGAAATCCAGGAATTTCCAGGGATTCACTACATTACAGTGTTTGCCTAATTTATATTGGTCTTGACTATAGACTTTAATGAACCTTGGTGTTTGTTTCTCAAAATGTATAGATTTAATTTGGAATATGTACTTGGTTCTTCATGAGTGCATTTTGAAAAAGAAAAATCCCACAAAAACATATACCTTTACACTCTGGACATCTCAAGTTTGTGATGTGTTAAGCAGTATTTTAGAAATATAATTTTATAAATGTAAAGTATGGTCACACTCAACCAAATTGTATTTAAGACTAAATTTACTACCCATTTTGAATAATGAGACATTTCCATATCATTCTTAGATTGTCAAATTAACTTTTCTGTTTGTTAGCACCTTTGACCATGGACATGAGCTGGAAAAATGATGTTTTTATAGAATTGTTTGTCCAGAATGACTTCAGACCAGCATAGTGGAAAGACCACTGACTAGTAATTACTATTGTTTTTGGATTCAGAGCTCCTCACAAATAAACCAGTGTGATGAAGCAAAATGAAACTATAACAGTATCCCTTTGTATACTGTTCTGCTGTTCACGATGTACTTGGACATTACTTTATCTCACCTTATTTCACAGTAGGACTTCTCTGCGCAAGCCAACACTGTCTCTTCTTTGATCTGGTTCACTCCTCTTGTTTTACAGAGGGGGTCACTGGTGTGCTGGTTGGTGGCATAGATGACACCAGAGCCCCCTTGTCTGTCGTTAATAGTCAGAGGCACTTTATTTGTATCATGAATTTATTTGAAATCATTGTAAAGCAGCAACATCTGATAATGACTGCTAGCTTTCCTTGTGTTTTGATAAAAACTCCAAATATTCTGGAGAACCTGGCTATATAATTACCTTGAAGGAATAGATTAGGATTTGACAACATTAAATTATAGGAAAGTTTACATTTTTGCAATAACAAACATTAATGAAAAGCAAAACATTGCAAAGGTAATTTTAATTTACTATTTACAGGCATACCTCATTTTAATGTGCTTTGCTTTATTGCACTTCACAGATATTGTGTCTTTACAAATTGAAGGCAAGACCCTCCATCAGCAAAAAGATTATGACTTACTTTATGGCAATACTTGCTTTATTGTGGTGGTCTGGAAATGAACCCACAGTATCTCTGAGGTATGCCTGTACTTAAAAATTTCTTGATGAAAGATAACTAAAAGGGGCTTGGATTCAATTAGGTTGAATCCTGACATCTGCAAATATAATTTTGTGGACACCCTTTTCTGTTTACATACATTTATTTACTTAAAATGAGATAATGGGGGAGAGAAGCAAGGTTTGATTAAATAAGCTTTTCTCTATATTGGTCTTTTCACTATTTTATGTTCTAGATTTTTTTTCTTTTTCATCAACACCGCTCCCCACCTTTTTGGTGTTAATTTTAAACAGGGAAAGCTCGCTACATTATAAAGAGTGCTGACATCATTTATCTTACACAAAGGCTTAAGGTTAACTTTTGGAAATGATGAGCTACTTTTCTGCATATGTTTACTTGTGCTTTGTGGTATTTTGGATCATTCCAGGCATAAAGACTTGTTACATGTAATATTTCTTGCTATCTGTGAAAGGGTATATTTTAAAGAATGTATAACCAACACATTTACTTTTTATTGGTATGTAGAGGATTTGTATCTAATTCATGAATGTAGTTTTAGTGTAGTTTGTCATTGTAAATGAAACAAAGTACATTATCTTTATAGTTATTCTAAAATGTACATTATGTAAGAATTGTAAATATTACACTTGATTAAATACTTTGTATGCTGAAAAAATTATAAGTCAATAAAAATTTCACATCTGGCATAGTTCTTTCATGCTCACATTTTCACTTTATTATAAACTACAACTTCAGACTTATCTGTTAACAACTGTCGTGTTTAAGGTCCTATATTCCTTCCAACCCTGTCAGATCCATCAGATTGCTCCCATTTCCTAATTGCTTCAATAAAGAAATGCATTTTGATCTTTTAAACATTCTCTTCTGCCTGTATGTCTCCCAATTCATTAGATAA